GATGGTGATGCTAAGACAAAAAATTGATCAAGTTCCATCACCCTGTCCCATTGCCAGAAGAACCAGAGGTGCCAAGCGTGCTAGCTTATGGAAGAAGATGTTAAGCCTTGTGTTGAAGTGAATGGTTTCCTGAAGGATATTAGTAACGGCAATAATTTATGTGTAGCAGCGGAAGCAAAACTGAAACAAAAATCTCCAGGAAAAACAACACCAAGAAGTCTTAACGCTGTTGCCACAAAATGAAAATTCAACCTCGATCGCGAAAACTGAAAGTAATCATACAATAGATAGATCTGAGGTCATCAACGCCAGTTAAGGTTCAAAAAGTTTTTTGTTCCATTTGCCTACAAGAGCTTGCAACACATTATACACTCATGCGACATTTGAGAGCAAAACATCCCAATTCGGAAATAGTATCCTCCTTTAAGAAAAATTTCGAAGGTTCCAAAGTCAAGAAGCGAGCTAAAAAAGCCAAGAATTTGGTTAATGTTGCAAAAATTGCTATGCAATCCGTTAAGAAGAATTTGGCTAAACCAAAACAATCGAACATTGATGTTGAAGCTAATTTAAAGGTGAAAAATAATACCGATGTGAAACAAGAAAATATGAATACCAATGTTGAATTATACACACTTAATAACAACATTGGAGGTAGGAAGATGAATAAGCATAATATCCCAAAACTTAGGAAAAAAGTTGCACTCAAGACTGAAGAAACTTCTAACCTAAACAATATACCCATCACTTGCAAAACGGAATGATTTATACGTTTTTTTTTTATTGATGGAGATCGATTCTTTTAATCATTTAATTTATTGGTAATGTAGAAATAATAGTTTTCATTCATATTGTATTAAATTATTTATTTAGTGTCATTTATTAAGTTGAAAAGTAGTTATTTTTAATAATTATGTGTGCCTTTTTTAGAATAGTTTATATTTAGAAAATAGAAACTTTGATAACAAGTTTGAAGTGGGCATTATAAGTTTATAAAGTGCCTCCGTTAGTTATTTTTCTAAATACCTGCAAACTTTGTATGTTACTCATATTAAATATCAACTTTACCTGTCTATTCTAAAGTTCTGTTAATAAATATAAAGTGGTCAATTAAATTTAATTTGAAAAAGTTTATAAAGTGCCTTGTTTAAGTTTTGTTATAAATTGCTGCAAAAATTATACACGTACTATATTAAATATTAACTTTAAATGCTAATTTGCAAAGTTCTGTATAAAATATATTTAATTTTTATTATGTAGTACATTATATAATCCATGATTATTATGTTTATAATTAATAATTATTTATTCCTCATTTGTGCCAATATTCATGAAATACATATAGATATAATTTAAGTTTCAATGACATATAATTTCTTTATTCTATTGGTATTTAAATAGCCATCAGAACTTAAGGGCGTTCTTGTGATTTTGCTACACCCAACCCAACGGTTTGGCCTAACTATATTTGACTGATTTCTGTTATACATTATCGTAAAAAAATCGTTATATATAATAAATTCTAGTCTGGCCGAAGGCAGGCGGTACATGATGTATAATCATACATATATATCATCAGCAGGTACATGATGTATAATCATATAAAATAACCATACATAAAAATTAATAAATATCTACTACTGGAAGTTTGTTACATTATTAATATGTTTTCTTTTTTGTTGATTTTTTATATATGTGTGGACTATATATATAAAACAATAAATTGCAATGAGTAGTGAAGGTTCCAAAAAGCGATTCTATTTTTTAACCCGTTTGTCTTTTATTTTCAGGTTTCGTGAGGCTGAGTGTTAAAAAAAATAAAATATTTTATGATAAAAATAACTTTCTACAAATGATTTCCGATACTTCGATCGCCACAATCAAGTGGTAATGCACCCTTGTGACAAATGCACCAGGCGATACAAGAATCGTGCACACCTGACCAGGCACCAGCGTTTACGAATGTGGCAAAGAGCCACAATTTAAATGTCCTTATTGCCCTCATAGTGCCATCATAAATGTAATTTACAAGACCACATACAGAGAAGACATAGTGGAAATAAAGTTCAATATAAATATTTTAAATTGTAGATGGTTATGATTTGAAAAACACAGCGTTTGATATTATTAACTTCCCGAAGAATATTGTAGCTTGAAAATCAGATTGCTAATTTTATGTTTTCTCCATATTTTAAGTATTTCTGAATTGATTGATATCGAAAGAAGAGAAAGCTTGTGTGGAAAGCGGAAATTTGAGCTAAGATCGAAGTTTTCTCAAAGAAGTCTGTACCGATTTTAAAATTTCAAAATCCATTCGATGAAACTCGATAAGGATTCGTGTTGATTAGTTTTTCGCGAGTGGAATTTATTTATAATATAATTAATTATTATTTATAATATAATTACAGCAGCTAAAACTGAATTATTGTTAAGTTGATTATTACGTATCGAGAAGTTTATGCAACTAGATTTGAACAAAATGCCACTTAAACTGGTTTAATTACAGAAAAAGTAATCAAAGTGGTCGAACATGTCCTCTTAGAAACAAATATAAGACAAATAATAAGTTTTTAGATTCAATATTAATGTTTACGAACAATCAAAATTTTATATAAATTTTAAACAATTTTGATGTTTTTAAACATATAATTTAATATCGAATTGTAAATAATAAATTAAATTTAAATTAATTGTAAATTGTGAGTAGTAATTTTTTAGATTTAATTTCAAATTTTTTAAACAATCAAATGTTTATATAAATTTGGGTCAATTTTGAATATTTCAATTATTTTGAATAATTTAAAATTGCGAATTATGAACTTATAGTTAGATTTTTTTCCTAAATATTTTTAGTAAATTTTTAATAATGAATGAATATTTTAGTAAAATTATGATAAACACACTGCAATTGTTATTTGTTTCAGTAATAGTTCAAAAATATTCTTTATACATTATATAAGAAAATAATACAAACTTGTACTATTACTGCATGAAAGTCAAAAATCCTAGTTTGTTTTAAACTAGATATAAAATTATTAAGTCTTTACACGCCAGGTTTATAATCCTGATGATGGAACGTATCTAGTTCCGAAACGTCGTTATAAACATCTTCAAAAAACAAATTGTTTTTTATTACTAGATTACTGTTCGGAAAAGAAAAAATCAATTAATTGAAAAAATCCAGGACTTATCTATTGAATATATATATATATATATATATATATATATATATATATATTGCTGCTAGCTTACTTTATTTATATTATATAATTATATATATATATACGAGGTCTGTTCAAAAAGTACCGGAATTACTAATAAATAAATTTCGCGGGTCTGGAGTGTATGATTGTCAAAATTTTTTTTTATTGTGTTGGTATACATGCCCTAAAGTATGATGAAATTTTCAGCTATATTCACTGTTTACTTTGTCTGTGGGTAGTCGCTAAGGTTCGACGTGTTTTTCTGAGCTCGGTGATTTTTACAATGGAAGAATTGAAAAGTCAAAGAATTGTATTAAATTTTGCGTAAAAAAATGAAATAAAGTGTTGCAAAGTGCAAAAATTCACCAGATATGGCTCGTGTGACTTTTTCCTATTCCCAAAGTGAAGAGACCCATGAAAGGACGGCGGTTTTCCCGATTGATTGAAGAAAAATCGCTGAGAGTGCTCAAGGACATATCAAAAGTGAATATCAAGGGTGCTTCGAAAATTGGAAAAAACGCTGGCATCGTGTTATTATATCTGGGGGGGACTACTTTGAAGGGGACCACATTAATGTAGACGAATAAATAAATATTTTTTTGAAAAAACGAAAATTCCGGTACTTTTGAACAGACCATGTATATATATATTCTATAAAATGACAGCATTAAAACTTATAACGCCATATAATTAAAAATAATGTGAAATAAACGCATGATTTATTATCGTTTTTAAGCCAACACAAGGTCTATAAGGGTGTTCTTCCAGTATATTGTGTTATATTATTTAGATTAATTGCTTATAAGTACGATGTGTGTATATGTATATATACTATATATTATAATATATATTATATTTAGGAATTTATGCTAAGTTTTAAATTGAATAAAGTATCATGTCTTCAAATTTATATATTAATTTTGTACTTGGTATTCACGTTGCATTAGTTTTAAATCATATATATTTTAAATAACATAATTTTTCCTCAAACATTGTAAATATACTACACACTTTAGTAGGAGTTCAATTCGGCATCAGTTGACCAATAAAAATTGCACAAATTACATTTACTAATTCATCTTTTTCCATTTGCAGGTGGCTAAGATATAATCAATCGATCAAGGGCAATATATTAATCGTCGAATGTTGTGCTAAAATTTATTAATAACACAATTCTTCCTTATTTCTGTTCCCAGATTCGTTCTACTGGATGGAAAATTTGGCTTGGCAAACTCGAAATGTACTGTTCGGCGGCCAAAGGTCCGCGCTGGACCGCGTCCATCATTGCAACGCTTGCACCAGGTCATACAAGTACCGCACGCACCTGCTGAGGCACCAGAGGTTCGAATGTGGCAAAGAACCCCAATTTCAATGTGGACACTGTTCTTACAAGTGTCACCAGAAAGATAATTTGACGGCACATGTTAGGCGAAAACATGCTAACGATACCAGGACTTGGTTGTCAGTAGACGGAATATAATTTAGAGATATTAGGGATGATCAAAAAATTCTCAACTGAGAAAAATATAACTTTTTAATGATATATTTTAAATTGTGAATTGATTTCAGCAATTAACAAGACGACTAATTTTATTAAAAAAATATTGTACAGGGTTTAGAGTAAAATATATAGGAAAGTGTGGGGTACAAAGAAAGGTCCTATAGTCCAGTCATTTAAGCTTAAATTAGGTAAGATTCTTGGAATTCGAAATACCCAGCTGTAAGTCTGTAAATACCCTAAAATAGCACCTTAAATGTTGTGTCAGAACCTACATATGGCACGTACATCCTACCATATGTAGGTTTTGAGACAACTTTTAGGGTGCTATTTTAGGGTATTTACAGACTTACAGCTGGGTATCTCGAATTCCAAGGTAAACTTACTATAATGAATGGACTACAATATGAATATCAGTGAATATACTGAATTTCATGACAATACATAACTTGTATGAAACAAACCACTATCGAACTACGTTCAGTAAAATTTCCAATTAACTCTTAATTTTATAAATATATTTTGTTACTATTTTTCTAAAATTTATAATCTCTTCCCTTAAGACGGGGACTTGAAAATTAGAAAAATATGTTGGATCTGTATGCGCCCTGGCTGTCCGCTTATCTTATCTCTATGGGCGGGGTAAATAGGCACAGTTAGGGAGAAAACACATTCATCGTCTTTTTCTAATTTTAAGGGGATTTTAGGAAATAACAGATACATTATTTAACCAATGTGATAGACATACTGAAACATTTGTTACAAAGATTTTATTGTGTATAACCTTGATCTGGTATTTCGAAAAAAAATTAACATGCATTCGACTAGAAGAATTAATTTAATTTATCTTTTTTTTACCTTCCCGCAGGGTAGTTATAATAATTGGCCGAAAATCGAAAATGAAATTTTTTGCATATCTTCACGTTTTGAAGGTTTCTGAACATTTTGGCATACTTCGAAAAAATGGATGTGTGTGTGTGAGTGTTTTGTATGTCCGCATTTTTTCGTCCACGTTTTCGGGAGCACGGATCAACCGATTTGAATGGTTTAAAAAACATTCTTAAACTTCTTTATTTTTTATTTTTTATTGTTTACACCTTTGCTAATGTAATGTAAACCATTGAATCTAATTTAAAATCTAATGTAAAAATAACAATTCATCTTTCACCTCATCAACTAATTACCAGAGCTCTAAACAAAAAAAACAACTTCTGGAATGAACATTGATATAATTCCGTTTATCTCCTGATACGTAATCTCCTGATCATTAAGAATAATGAAGATGGCTGGGTACACATCTTTTGCCTTTTATTTAAAATAGTATCACTATTTATTTTGCCTTCTAATTTAAAGTATTATCACTAAAAATTCTATTCTTTGCTTATTTTTAAAATATTGGTAGTGGACTTTTTACCCTGGGTCTTTATGCCCCGCTCTATCCTACTTATGACTATTATAACAATGACTTTGATCTTGTTCTTGAAAATATTCTTTTATTAATGAGAAGTTGTGAAATTAAAAATATTGCGATTTATATATGGTATATAAGTAAATTTTGTTATTTTGTTGCAATTGTTAGAAATTTATCAAAAATTTTATTTATTATTGTATTGTATTGTAAATTTGAAGGTTTATTTAAGTTTTAATTGATATTATTAAATAATGTGCAAAAACCGTTTGTGTTTATGTAATTTTGAATTAATACCTTTAAATGATTGGTTTCATATATAATATAGGTACTAAACCACATAAAGTTATTAATTCTAAATTACAAGAAAACAAAAGTTTTTCACATATTTGATACCAATTAAAATTTAAGTAAACCTTTAACAATCTAATACGATGCTTTTAGATATTTTTTGATGATTTTCTAACAAAGGTAATGGACGGGATTTGAATAATGCTGATAATTGAATGATTTCGTTATTTTAATATTGAAGATAATAAGTAATACTTATTAAGTATCTTTACCAATGAGTAGTTGCAAAATTAATAAAAAGATTTTGTTATATATACTATATATGGTATAAATGAAAATTTGTTGTGTTTTTGTTATCATTTTGTTACCATCATTAGATAATTATCTAAAAATATCTGAAAGCATGTTATTAGATTGTTAAAGATTTAGTTGATTTATTAATTAATATATAAAAATGTAATATGTAAAAACCATTTAAATTCTTGTAATATTGAATTATGGTTTAGTACATTATATATATTTACTATTTATATACTCGGACTATATATATATATATATATATATATATATATATCTATATTTAAATAATATAATATATGCGGTGCTTAAAAATTATATTGTGATTGAAGCAATATATAAATAGACAATAGATGTGATTAGTAAATATTTTATATCGAATATTAGATACTATTATTATATCGAATATTAGTACTATTATTTTTAAAAGATGCTTTTTATATAACCAGCCAAATTTTATAACATTCATATATTTATAGTATGTGAGACTTTTATATTTTTAAATAAAATAAAATATTATTATATTGATTATTTATTATTATTCTTAAAGTTTGTATTGTATTCGAATTCATATTTGCCTTTTTTGTATGAAGATATAAAATTAAGTGTAGGTATTTAAATTTTCATTTACATGAAAATATGGTATTAAATTTACCAGTAGTATTTACATTTATGTGGCTCCAAGTGTACTGGAACTTACAATTAGCTTTTAATATTTGATTATTATTATTTTGTTGAATATTACTAATATTGCTGAAGTGTTTGTCTATTTCCAGATATTTTTTATCGGTCGTCTTGGAATCCATGGGAAAATAGGACAACAGCAGGATTGACTGCCGATGGCAAACATGTATGTGCAGGTTGTTTGAAGGAGTACAAGTATCGTTCCCATATGCTGCGACATCAAAAATACGAATGCGGCAAGGAACGAAATATGCAATGTACATATTGTTCATATAAATGTCATAGAAAGTGCGCTTTGACTTCACATATTGCACGAATGCACAAACATGTTGATATTGTCGATGGAATTGAACCCTATTATGAATAAGGAAAGGAAAAGCTGGTGAATGATTATCCATCAATGGCTGGAATTTTAACTTTCCGAAGGAGAATTTTATATTTTGGCTAGAAAATCCGATTTGCTAATTATTTGTATTTTCGACGTTTCAAGTCATTCCGAATCGCTCGACACCAAAATGATAATAAAGTATGTAGAGCCAAAAGTTGACCTTTTGTCGATGGCTTTACCGAATCCCACAATTTAAAAGCTATTTGATGATGCTCGATAAGGACTCGCATTGATTAGATTTGCCCGACGATCAGCATAGCCGTTTCTTTATAATTAGCAGATCAGTGCAAAATTATTCGTCAACGTTTTTGCCAAAAATTCTGAACCGGTTTTTGCAAATTCCAAAGCTGTTCGAAAGATAATAGTTGGGCATCGTGCCCGGATGTTTCTTTATAATTGATAGTATTTCTTTTAATATTTTAAAAATGTATTTAGGAAAGTGATGTAATAAAATACTTTCTCGAATTAAACGAACCGAACAGTCATAAAATTGACTTCAATGAAATGTATAACACACCAGTTTAGTTTTTGATAGCTAGACAAATATGCACTGAATTCACTGAGAAATTATGACTAAATTGAGTTAAAGTCTCAATGTAAAGTTTATTCGGAGCTAAATTACATAAAGATTAATTTTTCCTGATATTTATATAGCTCTTTGTCAGGTAATATATGCTGTATATATGCTATCAAATTAATTAATTTTAATAGTTTTAAGTTTTTATTATTACCTTTTATATAATTTCCTTATAATTAAATTTTTTTAATAATCTTGATCAATGCTCAAAGAATTGTAAATGAAATGTACATTGAAGTATGTAAATATATATATTCCAAAAAATACTGTGCATTTGAGTTATTACTGTATACATTTATTATGGTTTCAATTTATTTATTTATATTTTAAAAGTGTATTCACCTTTATATAATATTATCAAGTTATTATTAATCAGCTAACTTTTTTTTCAGCTCGACATTGGAACAATTTTCACTCTTTCCATTCCGACTACATGGAAAGTCGCCCGTTTTTGTGCACCAAGTGTGGAAAAAAATATAAACATAAATATTCATTGAATTTCCACTTAAGGTACGAATGCGGCCAAGAAAGACAATTTAAGTGTCATCTTTGCAGTTATGCTTTTTACAGAAATGCTGCTCTTTTAAAGCACATGAGGGATAAACATTAATTTTGATAAAAAAAAATAAAAAAATATTTTTGACTCGAACAAAAAGTGCATTATTATGAAATTACATGTTTAAAATGTCTTGTATATATTCTTAATAAATATCAATAAAATTATTTTTTATGCTACTGGTTTTGTGCTTTTACTCTATGCCAGGTTTTTGTCATACTATGAGTTATTTGTATTATTTCAAGTAAGCAATTAGAAATAAAATTTATTTATATAAGTTAATTTGTTATGTATAATTTTATGTAGAGGTTCTCTTCAATGAGAAAATAACCTGTTAGAAATGATCAAGTGTTTAATTTGTGTATTTGGATGTTGGCTAAATATGTGCAAAGAAATTCCGGATCAAAATCTTATTTGAATTTTTTGAGCACAATTTGTTATATGTAAATATATTAATTACGAAAGCGAAAGCATCATTACATGACATGTTGAACGATGGAAGATGCAAGTTTTCTAAAAAAATTAATATAAGTATTATTTTTAGTAAGTTGAAATGCAACGTTTGCAGATCACCATTCATTATTTCTAATTTAGAGCACTATTAACAAACTTTAACTAATTAACAAATATTTCATTTTCAGCTCTAGAATTCGACCGGTATTTGTTACCATCAACTATGGATGATTCCAACTATCAGCACATGTCATCAACAAGGGCTCATAATTTCAAACCCTACAAATGTGAAAAATGTGGTGCTCAGTATACACACAAAAACAACTTAACAATACACAAACGAAATGATTGTAATCAAATAAAAAGGTTTAAATGTGACTTTTGTTCTTACAGAAGTTATAGAAAAGAATGTATAAAAAAGCATACGTTTCGGAAACATAGATATGTATCTGCTTGATCTATATTATATATCTTTTGAATCAAATGTGGTTTCATTTATAGATCCCATTGACAAATTTTGATACTGATTCTGTGAATACTTAAAAAGCATATTAAACCACGCTTTATAGATGAAGTTTGAGTAAATAAGGCTTGCTTGCAAGTATAATTTTACATTGTAAGACTTTGAAGTTTCATTTTCATCAATGTGACGTCGAATAAAATTACCACATCTAGATATAAGCAATTTGTATCCATCTTGTCAATTTATTTAGCAAGAAATATTAGTTTCAGGAGAAATCGCTATTTTTCCGGTTGCTTCATCCAAACCAACACCAAAGCCAAATCAGTCTGCAATAGAGTTATTGGACTCCAAACCAACACCCAAGCCGAATCAGTCTGCAATTGAATTATGGGACTCTATTCGGCCACACAAATGTGGAAAATGCGGAGTGAGTTATAAGAGAAAGTCTAATTTGAAGCTGCACATAAGAACTAATTGTTTCCAGAACAGAAGATTTAAATGTTCCTTGTGCTCATATCGTACATGCAGAAATGGAGACTTGAAAGTTCATTACGAACGTATGCATAAAGTTTATAGAAAATCAAAATAATATAGAAAAAACTATAATAGAAATAATATAGAAAACTAGATCAATAAGAAATAAAAAAATAGTTGTAGGGAAAATATTGACAAAATAGAATATATGGGCGAAATGGCACATTTTCCCTATTCAAAAATTGGTTAGTTTTAGTAACGTTTTCGTAAGTGTATAACATGAAGAAAGCCGTAATCACAATCGTGTCAGATGTTGAGCGTCATTGTCACAGTCTTGTCTCAGTGATTAGTTCAAACGTGAATCGCATCTTTAAATGTTTATTTTGAGGGAGGTTTTGTCAGAACTTGCAATTTTGTGATCATTTTTTTGTTTCACGGAATTTTGATTCATTATTCATTTTTGTTCACTTTTGGACAAGGACTTTAGACTTTGCTAGATGTGATGGACGAAATGACAGAGTACTATTTCTCAAGAACTACAGGATAGTTCATTCGAGGTAAAGAAAAAAGAAAATTGTAAAGATGATTGACTTTTAACTTTAGCTCTAACTACTTTTAAAAACAGACTAAAGGATTCACTGGTAAAAGGAAAACACATGCATTAGCATAAGTAGCAAAACACTCTTTTCTCATACTGAGTCTGCTGAATGTTGCTTACGTTGTATGATTTGTTTTCTTTGGGCACATGCATTATGTGCTGAAGTCCCAAAAGGAAAACGATTTATTTGTGAACTGGTTTCTCAAAAATTGGTATCATAGTATGTCTTTACTTTATATGTCATTTTGTTCATACTAAATGGACATGGTTTTTTGTAATAAGTTGCATTTTTGCTAAAAATATGTTGTTGTAGATCCTACTAAATTAAAAGACCATGTTACTGGTAGTAAATGAATCTAAAATGATTAAAATGATTGAGACGGATTATAATATCATTAAATAAATAAATATCATTAAAAAGACCATGTCATTTTATTCGTACTTCTTCTACTCTTTAGATTGAAATCGTATAGAAGCTCAAAAGACAAAAAGCATACCATAAATATTAAATTGAGTGTCAGGTAATTTATTGCATAATATGAGATAATATGATAATATAATCTATAAGAAATTTACAGGGTCCTTCTTGCCAAATTAGTTGTACTATTTAGTTTTAATTGTGGAGCTAACATACTATACATATTAAATTAATGTTAATATAATATGCAGGTGTTGGTAAGATCCAGAGTTGTGTAATTAGTAAGTGTATATCTGAGAAAAAATCCTATGATTTTTTTAGGGTTTTGAATTATATTTTTTTTTTAAATTTTAATTAAATATTAGATTGCTTGTGATTTTTCTGCTCTTTAAACAGGCTGAAAAATACTTATCTAAATCAGAAATAATAATTATGATTGCATGTATTAATATAATTGTAAGCTAAATTTTAACTATAAGTATTCAACTACAATTTAACTAAAATTTATTTGAATATGCCATAATCGTATAAAATTAAATAATTATATGTATATATCAAAGGTTTGCATTATTTATTATATATGCATGTATACAAATGGGTTACTTCAATATAATATAAATATCAATTACGAACAATTTATTTTAATTAGAAATAGGAGTTGAAATATATTTAATATGTTTTCAGGACGGTTGCTGTACGCTTTTATTATTTAGCACTTGATTCTATTTTCAAAGGTAGCATTTATTTTGTTCGATATAACATAAAAAGTGTTCTATTTTATGTCCTTACAGAAATGTATTCTCACTATTACCCATTGGAGACGACCAACATAAATGGTCCTTCTCAAGGACCTTCTCAGGACATATTCAGTGATGTGCGACCACATAAGTGCATCAAATGTGGGGCCGCTTATAGGCATAAGACGAACTTGGCTGCACATATAAAAAATAATTGTAACCAGTTTAGAAGATTCAAATGTACCCTTTGCCATTATCGAAGTGTCAGGAAAGCAGATATGCAAAAACATTTTCAAAGGATGCATAAAGTTTCTGAATAACTAAAACTGATATATTTATATTTTCATCTTCAGAAAACATAGTTTAGTCTTGAAATAAAATACAAATGTATTGTACATGAAGTTAATTAGTGCAGAATAAATATTTATTTAAAAATCATGGGTTTTACTCAATTCATATTTGGCATTCCATAAATAATATGTGTATTTCCACTAATTTTTGGAAATTTTATTCTTACAGCAGGCAGTAACTATTTTCTTCAAGCAGTCAATCTGAGTCGAAGTGAGATGAATGATTATACTGGAATCGGTATTCCTTCATTGAAACCTTTCATATGTGGAAAATGTGGAGCAGGCTATGCACATAATTCAAATTTGCGATCACATATACGAAATGATTGCAATAGAAATAAAAAATTTCAATGCACTCAATGCCCATACAAAAGTTATAGGAGAGCTCATTTGACGAATCATATTTTTGCTGTGCATAGAAGTTTTCCAAATGTGTGAAAAATTAAATATATGTATATAGTTAGTTTTGTTATAAAAACTATCGAAGCGTGATTAAAATTTTATTAGATGCTATAATATATAATTTTAATAATGTACATAGAAAATATAAAATTTTATCAAAATAATGTTTTACTATGGTGTTGTTAAAATATATAGGTTTCACATACAATATTGAAATAATATATATTCTATAATATTATATTAAAAAATCTGGATTTTTTCATGGAGTTAGGAAGCCAGTTAAATAATTTCCATAATCCTTGTAGAAAACTCCAGTGCTATTCACTTTCATCAACAAATGTTCTCATCCAATCCAAAGTTGGAAAACATTCCATCCTGGTCATATATGTTGGCATATACAATATTAGAATAATATTTATTTTATAATATGACATATGGTAACACTCGTGATGCACACATTTATTAATGTCAATGTCATTATACATATTCATATAATAGTAAATTATAAGTTATATATTTATAATAGCATTAAAAATATTCATAATATTTGAAAACAATAATGTTTCATAATTCAAATACGACATGATCGGTTTGTCATTGTAATTATCATTTAGGATTTGAACCATTATTAGAGAAATGAAGTAATTGCTGATTAATAAATTCTATAATATTCGTTTACACAATGGATTATGTTAAACAACTTCTAAAGGAATGTTATTTTTACAATTTCCATTATCATGTAATTGTGTTTGAAGAACTTCATGCAATTAATATCAACATATATACATTAAATTAACATACGTGTATGTGATGTACGCATGCAATCAAAGACGCTTACGCGACACGTTGACCAATCACAATCGAGAGCGAATGACGAATCATTGGCACTCGACTCGAGCGTAACGGTCTTCCGTTGCGTTTCTACAGATTTACTCCCTAGTCGCGCCTAAAGAAGTTTTACTTCAAAAATAAAGATTATATCCTTAACCAACCAAAGTTGGAAAACTTTCCACCCTGGTCGTGTGAGTGACTCAGTGTCACTAAATCTAAAAAAAAATTTTTTAACTCAATGAGAGTTTTAACACTATTTTATTGTTGTAATTGGACGATGTATTTACTCAGATGGGTCAGGAAAAAAAATTATCAGAAGTTATACTGTAGAACCCGAAGTACAAGAACAAATCAGGATCTTATGACATGTTTGATGGTTCAAAATGTGCTGTTTTTATGAATTGTATGAAATATATAGTTAGATTGAAAAAGATGAAAATTGTAATAATGTTATTATCTAGTGGCCAGCGAGTAGCCACTTAATTTTATTTAAACTTGCATTATTTCTTTTCAATTGCAGAAATTAATCACTATTTTCACAAGCAATGCTGTAACAAGAACAAGCACCAACAAGAATAAATAATGGATCTATCTTGTAAAATAATTTATTAATATATAGTCCATTTTGGAATGCAAAAAATAGCCGTTTTTATCAGCAGCATATGAGTTTATAAGCACAAGTTCCAAATTGCTTAATTTTAAATTAACAATTTCTAATTCATTTCTTTTTCTATTTTCAGATCAGTCGTTTGGCGCGCCTTTTCCGATTAAAATGGACCCGGATATGCAGCATTTTAATTCTACTTCAAATTCATTGAATAATTCACTTATACCTTTCATGTGTGGCGAATGTGGAAATGCTTATAAATATAAAGGAGACTTAAGTGCACATGTGCGCAGTAATTGCAATCAGAATAAAAGGCATAAGTGTCCCCATTGTCCTTATAGGAGTTACAAAATTGGGAATATTAATGCACATGTAACACGTGTTCATAAGTCATTAGAAGTTCCGAATTTGGTAACATATAAGAAGTTGGATTATTTTTATTCATAAACAAAACATTCACACATTAAACAGAATTTAATGAACTAACTAGTAGTAATTGTTGCATTTGTCTCGAAATCATTAGTTCTTTGATCATTATAGCTAACTAAAACGAGTCATAGTCAATGTTAATAGCTCTAGGCAATGTGATTAGCATGACAGATTTATTAAAATTATTTTATAAAATTTAGCGTAATTATTATAAAACTGACTGAAATTTTAATATTAAACTTAGAGCTGGAGGAAGAATATATCATTCACCCTTTTTTGCTTTATATTTTCTTGTAAATACTCAAGCGTCTGTATTTTTTAGTATATGTGTTTAATAGAATTGTGTGTAATAAATAATTAAAATAAAAAACAGAAAAAAAATTGCAAGCAATTTTAATTTACTATGTGATTAACACATATTTTATTGCATACATATTTTACTGTGAGATTAACAAAAAAACACGTTGTAAAAGGTTCACAAATAAATTATTGAACGAGATGTGAATTATTGGGTTTCCTACAATGGTTTCAATTATTGTTCCATAATTGTAAATAAATAACTATATCCCTTTAATTTTTTTCTAATTACTATCACTTTTTTTCAGAATTGAAGTTCACCGCACATTCCTTGATTGACATTGATTCTGGTGTGCAAAAATTGGATTCGACTCCAAATTCATCAAATAAATCTCTTAAACCTTACATGTGTGGTGAATGTGGCACTTCATATAAAAATAAATGCAATTTAGTCGATCATGTTCGTAATAATTGTAATCGGGATAAAAATTATAAATGTCCAATTTGTCCTTATAGAAGTTACAGAAATGGCAATCTTAAAAGTCATATAACGCGTGTTCATAAATGTAAATGAAGTAATCACTAGTAATATTGTATTGATTTCTATTATTTCATGTCATAGAAGACAATTTATTATAAAAGTATAAAAGTATTAAGTTTTTTTTGTGTTTTAGAGAATAATTAAATGTTAAAATGGGGTTAAATATAATGTATAAATAATTGAAGTCAATCTTTTGATGTAAATATGTATGTTTAATATATATTTATCAAGAGCACAAACAAATCTGTAGATGATGAATTAAATGCATTCAGTGCTTTTTAACAGTGTATATGTGTCTCTTACAATATTTACAACAATTTTATTTTTTTATATTTAGTAATAGTATTGTGTCAATTAATCTTAATTATTACAATAAATAATATATTCATAAATAGAATATTGTCTGCTGAAATATAAAAAATGATAAAACTTCCATTATAATCAAACTGTTTTTTACAGGATTTGACTCCTACGAGTTCGTGAATGTTGAAAAGAAACCTTTTGATCTTTTCGCCGAAAATGCTTCAGATGGTTCTCGTTTACTTAAACCTTTTATGTGTGGCGAGTGTGGTGCTGGATATACATACAAAACAGATTTAAATAGACATTTAAAAACCAAATGCAATCAGAATAAAGGATTCGGTTGCCAGTTTTGTCCATATCGCAGTTACAGAAGAGCTAACGTTAAGCAGCACACCATTAAGATTCACCTAAGACCAAAGGAGTAGTAAACTCTGTACAAATAATTGAAGAACGGAGTCCAGTGGTGTAATGGTTAAGAACGTGCAGGAACTTGGGTTTGGGTTGGATCCCAAACACGGCTGATTCGGAATCAAGCAGTATGATATCACTTGGGCTTATAGATCTCAATTATAATAACAAGTGAAAATCACTTTTCGTGGGCATTGCTGTAACACATACACGCCAACACTATATATAAACTAGTAGTGTATGGTATCGTGCCTTAAGGCAAATTGCTGGAACTTCCCGTACCGTAACGAAATGTTCGAGGAATATTAAATGTTTTCATATAAATTATTATTATAAATATTGTAACATTGTCGAATATTTATAAGAATTATATAAATTAAAATGGAAAGTTGAAATTATTTGTTTAAAGTATATTAGAACAGAATTAAAATTATTTGTTTAAAGTTTATTAAAACAGAATTAAAATAAAAATCTGAATTATTTTCGATATACAAAAAAAATTTTTTTGGGAAAAAAATTAAAAAAAAATTTTTTATGCAATATTTTTTTAAATCAATTTTTGTGTCAAAAATCAATTGTGTTAAAACAAGCAGAAAGTTTTTTGAATCATTCAAATCGGATGCTTAGTTCTCTTAAAATTGCTATTTATTGCACATTAGGCTTGGTATCTACGAAACGACCGGACCTGCCTCTGCCAAAATCTAATCACCATTTCTCCCTGTCATAACGAATTGAATGTTTTTTAGATCATTCAAATCAGATGCTCCGTTCTCTCAAAAACTTTATTTCTATTTTCTGCACTCTTTGCTTCGTATTTTTGAAACGGCTGGAACTGCCTTTGCCAAAAACTAATCAGCATATCTCCTTATCAATAGGAATCGAATGTTTTTTGAAGTATTCAAATCGGTTGATCCGGGCTCCCGAAAACGTGGACGAAACGTGGTATCCATACACACACACCACACACACACACACGCAGATACACACACGCATCATTTTTAACTTCCCGTAGGGTAAGTTATTGTAATGGGCCGAAAATCGGAATTGAAAATTTTTACATTTCTCGACGTTTTGAAGGTTTCTGAATATTTTGGCATACTTCAGAAAAAATGGATGTGTGTGTGTGTGTGTGTGTGTATGTGTGTGTGTATGTATGTATGGATACAAATTTTCGCCCACGTTTTAGGGCGCACGGATCAACCGATTTGAATGGTTCAAAAAACATTTCATTCCTATTGATAGGGAGAAGAGCTGATTAGTTTTTGGCAAAGGCAGGTCCAGCAGTTACGGAGATAAGGAGCAAGGAGTGCAGAAAATAAAAATCGAGTTTTTGAGAGAATGGAGCATCCGATTTGAATGATCTAAAAAACATTCAATTAGCAATAATTGGGAGAAGGGGTTATTAGTTTTTCGCAAAGGTAGGCCCAGCTATTTTGGAGATACAGAGCTAAATGTACAAAAAATGGCAGTTTTTGAGAGAACTAAGCGTCCGATTCAATTGATTCAAAAAACTTTCTGCTTGTCTTAACAAAATAATTGATTTGAGAAAAAAAATTTTTGTTCCATTTTTTTTTTTTTTTTTTAAATTTTTGTATATCGAAAATAATTCAGATTTTATTTTTAATTCTGACTATAGTTCTAATATACTTTAAACAAATAATTTCAACTCTGCAATCAGTTTATATAATTTTTATAAATATTAGACAATGTTACAATATTTATAATAATCTATTTGAAAACATTCAATATTCCTCGAACATTTCGTTACGGTACGGGAAGTTCAAGCAATTTGCCTTAAAGGCACGATGCCACCCACCCCACTAGTTTTCTTAGGTATGCCAAAATGTTCAGAAACCTTCGAAACGTGAAGAAATGTAAAAAAATTCAATTTCGATTTTTGGCCGATTACAATAACTTATACTACGGGAAGTTAATATATATATATATATATATATATATATGTATATGTATATATATGTATATATATATATATATATATATATATATATATATCTCCAACTAGTTTGTGGATAACACATATTATATATTGTAAACTTACTCTCTTGCGATAGTTTAATTTTAGCATAATTATGAAATATTGTCATAAATACAAGTTTAATGTTTATATCACATAGTGCAGTGCAGTACCATATTCTCATACCATGTATTATTCATTTTTGTTTTGTTTTTAACTCTAACAAACTTTTCTATTGATTGAAGGCTAGGATTATTGCCAGAGCGCATGGATAAAAAATAAATTCTTAAAAGAAATTTGTTTTTATTGATGTTATGCTCGATTATTAGACTTTGTTAATATATATATATATATATATATATATATATATCTTATATATTATATAATATATATATAATATATATATATATATATATAACGTAATGTTTAATATATATGTTATATGAAGTTCATTGTATATTTAAACTTAACGGAAACATTGGTTTAAAGTTTTTTAAAGATGGCAGAATGCGTATGAAGTTAGACTCTGAAGTTAGATATGAAGTTTGTTGCATACTCTTCTTTTATCTATGGTTTGTTGATTAGTGCGTTGTTATAATAAAAATATACCAGCAGGACGGTGTGAGTGATTGCTGTCCGATTTTTTAGTGTTAATGATGTTTATTGCATATATGCATGTTGAAGGAATATCAGTGTTTTATTACATTATTTTAAAAATAAGTTTGTTTAAAGTTTAAAAGTGGAATTCGAGGGATTTCACCAAGATTTGAGAAATTTGGATTGAATCTAGACGGGGTCTGGATCTCACGTCCCGGATCTAAAGTGAGGTTATATCGTACTGGAACGGGAGTAGATCAAAGTGATTAGTTATCAGAGATCAATTGCAAATCTAAAAATTAAGAGAGATTAAAATCCAAATTAGATTAGAAATCTAGAGTATTGAAAATACAGTGATCGGTCCGGAAATAGATAAGTTAATACTCATCTTTTATCTATGTTATTACTAAAGTAACCTTTATGCAAACATGGCGACGAGGACTCCTATTTCTATGCTGATAGATATGATAAATGCGGAATGGAAGTCAATAAAAGACTATAATTGCAAGACTGGGGATGATAGATTTTATTACAAAATTGCTGAGTGGTTCGCATATGACAGTTCGAAATGTATTGGAGACAATTTCTATATTTAGCTGGAAATGGGAGAACGATATGGATGTGGAATTGTATTTGAACAAAATAGATGCGATTGGTGAGAGGGTCATAGAAATGGTTGACTAATAGATTATTTGAGTAAGTTTTTTTATACATAACAAAACTAAGATTTATAAATTAATCTTTAATTCCAACCGTTTCGACATACAATTTGATGTCATCATCAGTGGATATTGAACATCGTATCTTACAGCTAAAGATGTGTACATAGCACAAAAGTTTGCACTAACATTGATACAACTTCTTGTCATGATTTTTTTTCTTCTATGTAAATAGAAAAAATAATGGGAAATTTTTTTCACAAAAATGTATTTAAAATATTTTTGCAAAGAAACATGTAATAGCTACGGTATCGGAGGTTTATATATAAGCGATCTCGTATTCTGACGTAGCTGTTATTCTGACGTAGATCTTAACCTAGAAATATATTCCTCTCAACCACTCTTGTTTTTGGGTTAATTGTATATATGTATATTAGATATGTTTATATAATAGTTTTGGTGTGTATATTTTTTGAATGCAGCTATGAATGCAAAAACCTATTTTTACTTAAAATTATATTTGAGATCTATAACCTTAGTGTCAATTGGTAATCATGCGGCCTGATGTTGGGCTTGGTCGAAGATGGATATATATATATATATATATATATATATATATATATATATATATATATCAAAAAAGTCTAGTAATCGGGCATAACATCAATAAAAACATGAATTTCTTTCAAAAATTTATTTTAAATCCAAACGTTTTGGCTATAATCCTAACTTTCTTTCAGTGGAAACTAAAAATAAAATTAAAAACTAAAACAATGGAATTAGAGTAAAATGAAAAAAAAAATAAAATAAAAAAAATAAATAATACTTACAATTAGTTAAGCTTAGTGTTAAATTGGAAGAATTTAATAATCCATGGTATCAGGATATGGTAATGCACTACACTATGTATTATAAACATTAAACTTGTAATTACACAATATTTTCACAAAACATTAATTTAAAAAATCACAAATGGATAGTGTGTTATTCGTAGACTGGTTGGAGATATAATGGAGAAAAGACCTTTAAATAAATATTTTTACCAAGATTCTACACATGTGTGGAACGAATTTATTGCGCGACGTTTTTATTGTTTTGCGAGAAATTATATATATATATATATATATATATATATATATATCTTTAAAGATTCATAAATTCATTATGAAAAATCTACATTGCGTAAAATATATGTTTAGTATATAATATCAGGAGAAATAATCCAACGTGAACACGTATTATAAACCGTGCAAAATAGGTGTTCATTTCACATGTGTTCATTTCACATGTGCTGCAAAACATTAATAGTTCTATAAATTAATTTTTAAAGTTGTAATCTGATAGTTGAAACTTGCAGTGAATAAAAATAACTGTATATTCTGCCGTCATACATCTTTTACTGAAAAATTTTTTAACAAAAAACATGTTGTAAAAAGTTAACAAATATATTATTTACAGATCTAAATTGTTGTTTTATTCAATGGTTTCTATTATTTTTTTACAATTATAAATGGGCATAAATATTCATTTTTCGTACTTCAACTCTGATTTTTGTACTTTATTTTTTCAGAATTGAAGTTTACCTTTTATAATTTGGAGAACCTTGAATCGGGTGTACAGCAATTGGATTCGACTCTGAATTCATCAAATAAAACTCTTAAACCTTATATGTGTGGTGAATGTGGTACTGCATATAAATATAAATGTCATTTAGTTGATCATGTTCGTACTGATTGTAACAGGATTAAAAACTACAAATGTCCATTTTGTTCTTATAGAAGTTACAGAAATGGCAATATTAATAGTCATGTTGCACGTGTTCATAAATTAAAACCAATGATGTAATCACCATAAACTAACAATTATATAGATTTCTTAATATTCACATATAAAATTTATTAAATTAAGTCTATTAAGTAAGATTTGTTTTCTGTATTTTAGTATATAATCAGATGTTTGAATGCTATTAAAAAATAATTGAAATTGCACTTGTGATATATATTTATTAGGGTAACAAAATAAATTTGTAGATATAATTAAACGTATTATTCGAATCATTAATTAATTTAAATTTGTAGCATAATGTAATATACTGTTTGGAAATAAACGTATATATTTTTCACCAAAGCAACGAATATTTGCATTTATTACTGTAAGTATTATGATATTTTAAAATGGTATTTTTTAACTTGTGTTAAGCTTGAATAACACTATTCATTACATTAAATCATATCATTTTAAAATAAAAATTTATCAGCTAAATTTGATGAACTTTATTTACAATTAATCTTTCTTTTACAGGATTTGACTTCAACTACTTTGTGAATGCCGAAAAGAAATTTTCTCATTTTTTGGTCGAAAACGATTCAGATGGTTCTCACATTGGCAAACCTTTTATATGTGGCGTGTGTGGTGCTGGATATACATATAAAACAGATTTGAATAAACACATAAAAAGCAAATGCAATCAGAACAAAGAGTTCGGTTGCCAGTTTTGCTCATATCGCAGTTACAGAAGTAATAACGTTAAGCAGCATACCTATAAAATGCACTTAAAACCAAGGATAAATAAACCCTTTTGAAATAATTGAACAACGCCTTAAGTGGGCATTGCTGCAACACTTACTGACGCCAGCTAATAGTTCTACATAACTAATTTTGGTCTGCACATAAAAAGAGGAGAAGTTGAGGCCTTTACTCTAGAAGCAAAAGTTTACATAATATAGAAGAAGATACCGATGTAAAACTTTTTGTTCACATATATATTTTTTAAAAACTCAATATGGTAAAATTGCGTAAAATAATAGTTTAGTATGAGAATTGAGAATTGTTTATGTATCATGAGATCTGAGAAATGTGGTAAAAAAGGTGTTTGTAATACAGTATATCTAAAAAAATTATATTAAAGTTGAGTTTTGTCAGAAATAATTTTCTTTTATATCGGAATATTATTTTTTATATATCATTTATTAGTTTTATGCTTATTTTTGTAAACGGCAAAATAAAGTATTCTTATATTGCCTATATAGGCACTACTATTGTACATTGAGTATAATGACATTAAAACAAGGTATATTTATTAGTAGTAATGATTCAGATTTTTTTTATATACATGTGAAATCCTAAACTTTGCTTTCTAATTTGATTTATTCTACATGCATTTTTCATTTTTATAGAAAAAATTCTACATTTGTAGAGTTGCAGTTCAGTGAATTTAATATGTAGTAGCAAATTTTGCAAAACTTGTTTGTGCTAATGACAAATTTTATTTTTAGAAATCGTTATATTTGATTTAAGACTATTATAGATTTAAGATAATTATTTTTATAATTATCCATGATGAAATAAATTTTTACAGCATATTTTTTGCTTGTTTATATATTTATTAATTACAGAAAGTATATAGAGCTTGCCTGTATGTTATTTTTATGTAAAGCTAAGAAAAACAATTTTCTGCTTAAAAAATGGTGAGTAAATTACTAAAAAAATTTTGATTATGATAATTAACTCATACTTGATTTTATTATCAGATGGACGTTTTGCTCATTACGAAAATAAAGAAGAAAATTTATTTGTGCAATAGATGAAAAAAATGTAAAGAATTTATTAACAAATTTTTCATATGAAAATTTCAAAATGATATTGAATATCTACTAATCGCTGTAATTCAAGATGAAGTATTTTTAAACCATCATAGTGAATAATTATATGAAGAACATTCTAAATTATTTATTTAAAATTTAATGGATTTTTACTATGCAAAGACAATTTTACATAACATAAACGAACTTGGTCATCAAATATCTTCTCCTGTAAATTTTCATTCCTCGCATGCATGCATGTTTTATATTAATCATTTCTCAACCTCACATTTTAACCATAATATTAATTGTATACTATTTTGTTTATACTATTTGAAATTAATTTTTCAGGTTCGATTTTGCAAAATAATAGTTTGATTCCTTTTGGATTTATCGATGATCACACATCCAGATTCGTATGTGGAAAATGTGGAAGTAGCTACAAGCATAAGAAAAATTTGAATACCCATATTAAAAACAATTGCAACACATCAAGCAACTATGAGTGCCCTAAATGCCCTTATAAAAGTTGTAGAAGAAACCGAATCAAGGAACATTATTTACGTATGCACAGTAATAGATAAAAGTCATATTAGAATATACCAGTGAATAACATCTCTATTTTACTGCTGAATCAAAACGCCGAAGTTTGTTATTTGTGATAACTATTAAATTTTTTCACAATATCATTTGATTGGCAGTATTCTTCAGAGACATCAGCATTTTGTCTTTGGCTTTTAAATATTTATGTCAATTTAGTTTTAAATAATTTTATCTTATCTTATTTTATTTTTATCAAATTTTAATAAATAACACTAAATTATTGTAAATTTTTATTTTAAAATTAAATTCAAGTTAATTACTAAACCCTTTATCTGGAGTTGTCAATCTGTGTAATGTGGTAATGTAGCACGCATTTCTGGAACTATATAAATTTACTTACGTTGATTTTGTTTAGATTATTAAAAGTTTTAGTATTACTATAAAAAATAACTACTTGGATATCTACAAAGTATGGTGTTCCGTGGCGTAACGGCTAAGCGCACTTTCTTGTATAGAAAGGTTTGTGATTGCAGCCCCTCGCTCTGGATAACCTAATAACGCGCAGTAGTGATGACTATTGGTAATTGAAAATATCAATAAAATATATGTATGTTGTTCCATGGCGTAACGGCTAAGCGCACTGAATTGTGTGGACAGGGTCATAAGTGATGACATTTGGAATTGAAAATACAAATAAAAAATATGTATGGTGTTCCATGGCGTAACGGTTAAGCGCACTAAATTGGGTTGACAGGGTCGTGAGTTCAAGTCTCTGATTTGGACAACCTGATATCGTGCATCAGATCAAAAATATGATTACATTTGAAAATTGTCTATTTCGGGCACTGCGGTGTGAAGTGGCAATGGAAAATTTCTCACAGTTGGAGTTTAACTTACTTCACGGACTGGAAAGTGAGAAGAATGATAATTGTCTGTGTATTAATTTAATTTAAATTTACTATTGACAATATTGAGCAATTTGTTCATAATTGTATAATTTAGGTACTGTATAATAAGCACAATATACTTACACCTTATAATACGATAAATAATTGTTATAATTATTAATACATATTTTCTAATAGAAATTATAATTTGAATTTTGGTACGTTTTTGGTACGTATTTGGTGAGTGTTTGATTTAGAAAATGTTTAGTTAATAATGTATAAAGTGATTTTTTTCAATTTTAAAATATGTAATTTAATGAGCGTATGAATATATTTTTTTATTTGTTATCAATATTTGCTGAAGAAGGGGCTACCTATATCCCCGAAACGTTGAATAAAATAATTGAATAGTAAAATAAATAATTTTTTAAGAAGAAACAGACTTTTTGTTTAAAAAATCATCTAACATGTCAAGTATATTTAATGAAAGTCGACCTAATTTTATTAAAAAAAATTTGATGGGTAATGGGTCAGTGCTTTTTGCTAACTGAAACCATTTAAAATATAATATATGTTTTTTTTTATTATGTAGTATATGGTTTTTATTTGGTGTATTTTTCTTGGTATTATTTGTTATTTTAATATACAGAATAAATATCTTTTATTATTTATTGTTTTTTTATTTTCGAGTAATTGATGGTTGCTGGTTTTTAAGGGTGAGCAAAATAAAATCTATTATATGCACAAATATTGCATATATAAGCACTAATATTTAACTATTTTAAATAAAATATCCATTTATGTTTCGTTTTAGATAACTTTTATTACCAAAATCAAGAGAATATCTATACTGGATTGGATCCTAGACCACACAAGTGTCCAAAATGCGGAGCAGCTTATAAACATGCAAATAATCTTACATCACATATTTCAAGTAATTGCAATCAAATTCGTCGTTTTAAGTGCGATTGGTGCCAATATGCTACTTATAGAGCTAATGACCTTAAAAGGCATCTTATGAGTAGACATTCCGAAAATGTATTATATTAAATTTTGTTATTGATAATGTATTAATAAAAATATTGAAAAGTTTGCCTTGGGTTATTTTATTACATTCTTACGTATTTAACAAAAAAAAAATTAGTTTTGTTAATTTATTTATTTTGTATGAAAATAACAATAATATAAATATTCTTAGACTGCATCTTTTTGTATGTTTCAAATTTTGTGTGAAAAATTGGAATGTGATGAATTTTTCAGCCTTTTAAAATTTATGTTATTGTTATAACTCATTGTTAGTTTTATTAGCCAAAAACTATAATATTTTTTGTTCCAGCATTGTGATAAATTTTAATAAATTAACTCTCTTATGAATTAGCAGAACTTATTTCTTTAATTATTGTAATTGTTGTACATAAATTTTATATGTATACTCCATGGTGTAATGGTTAAACTCAGGACGGGGTCGAGAGGTCGAACCCCGCACTGAACAACCTGATATCGTGCAGTAGCGATGTCCACCATCAAAATATAGATAAAAAATATATTTCCAATTGAGAATAACCCATTTTCGGCTCTGCGGTGTGAAATGGCAATGGGAAATTTCTCACACTATTCTTCCCTGAATCGAGTTAGAGTTTAACAGTTCACGGACCTGCCCTAGGGCAGTTAAACCTAAATATATATATTCAAAATACTTTAAATATTTATTGTGTACGTTTCACTATATGAGTGCTATCATTCATTTAAGTTTTTTTTCATCAACTTATATTACATTATTATAAATTCTCCTTATTATATCTTATCACAAGAAATCATTTGAAGTTTGTTGTTTGATCATCCCGGCAGTACCAGATCAAATCAAGTCTTCTAACCAAATTTTTATTGTTTTTCAGAATTTTGGAAATCGACTGAACCAAACACTGAATATAATGCATTCCACGAGTTTGTTCTAAATCCATTAATTGATGGAAGGCGACCATACAAGTGTGACAAATGCGGATTGGCATATAGTCGTCATAGCAGTTTTGTTCAACATTTAAAGATGGATTGCGAAAATGCAAGATACGAATGTCCTCACTGTTCTTATGTATCTGGTAGAAATTCGAATTTGAAAAGACATCTACTAGTGCATAGGAATAGTAAAAAAGCCGGCGAAAAAATATTGTTTTTAAAAAAGAACACATAATCAACTGCAAATGTTCAAAAATATTTGCTCTTCTTTTAGGCGCTGTGAAGTATGATACATATATAAATTGTTATTAATTAAAATATGTAATCGATACGTTGTTGTTATATGTTTATGTTATTGATTTAATGATTGAATTATAACCATCCTTATAATTACAATCGTTTGTATTATATTATATAGGACTCGCGTGTAGAATTTGATTTGAATGGAGACAGTAGTTTTCAACCTTTTGTATTTACGTCCCTTAATATTTTTATCAATCTAGTTTTATGATTAACTAACTGATATTATAATACCAAATATTTTGAGGAAATATATATAAAAAATATTTATTTATTAATTTTTTGATACCAATTCTACTATTTTGGTTTGTTTCTTAAACAGCATTTGGAAAACAGGTGCATGCTCTTCTTGCAACAACCTCACAGGGTGGAAATCACTGGATTAAGATTTTATCACAGCTACTTACTGAAGTTATTTCTATAATAAAATAATAATCATATTGTAATTCAAAATGCACCTATTTTTTTTAAGCATGCATTTCATTTCTCATTACTTCTTTCATTTTAATAACATTCAAAAGACTTTATATTTATGTGCACCTATTTATTTCTTGGCATCACAAGATGGTAACATAACTTTTGCATATTAACATATTGTTTAAACCATGTAATTAACCATAATATTTTTTAATTTTAGGTTTTCTTAATTTCAAAACAGATTTTCCACTATCACTAGTTGAGGTTTATAATGCTGCAATCAACTCAGATACCTCTGGCAGAATCCACGTATGTGAAAAATGCGGAGTGGCTTACAAACATAAAAGTAATTTGGCAAACCATATTTCTACAAATTGCAATCAGCTCAGGAAACATAGATGTACACTTTGTCCTTATGCCTGTAATAGAAGAAATGTTCTGAAGAATCATATGCTGACCAAACATTGCAGCGACTTGTGTATTATATAGATGATAACCAAATTGTTTTTCTAGTAGAATGGAAATTTTTTATTATCCTTTTTATCCAAGTTGGTGCTTAACAAATCCTAAAAGACTTTGCATAAGAATGAATTATAATAGGTTATATATTTTTTTAAATATTTATAGTGGAAATATGAAATTTAGTTCATAGTTAATATATTATATCATATTACAATTATTAATATATATGCAATATTTATTATATTAATATATATGGTGTCCGTGACGTAACGATTAAGCGCAATGCCTTGCGTGGACAGGTCGTGATAACATCATATCATGCAGTAGTGACATCAATTCACACTTGAGAATCTATTTTATATCTAATTTATCACATTATATTACAATAATAATAAATATATGTAATACGATGCTCTGTGGCGTAACGGTTAAGCGCAGTGCCTGTGTGGATAGGTCGTGATAACCTGATAACTTGCAGTAGTGATATCAATTTTCACTCGAAAATATTATATATATATATATATATAATATATATATAACAACATTATATTACAATTATTAATGTAATAATATGTAATACGGTGTTCCATTGCGTAACGATTAAGCGCAATGCCTTATGCCTTTTATGAGTTCGAACTCGCGCTCTAGATAACCTGATATCATGCAGTAGTGATATCAATTTTCACTTGAAAATATAGATCAAATATATATTTGATGACTGTCCCCGGGCAAGGGCAGTTCCACCCATTATTTATTTATTTATTTATTACAATTATCAAGAAATTACATAATATATAGAAAAATTGTTTAAATGTTAAAATGGATTTAAAAAATGCCTTATATTTTATAGTGATTGTTTTAGATATTGGAAATATTTCATATCATATTTGCTCTTTGAAGACTAAAATTAATTTATTAATGAAAGCGTATATTATTTATAAATAATTGTTAATAATATTGAAATTTGACATATGTATGTACCTATTCAATAAATTTTAAATTATTAAAAAATCCTGTTTTATTTCAGGACTTTTCTACATTAATGTATCAGTCAAATTCACTTGTTAATAAATTTGTATTGTTTGTGCAAAATTAATGTTATTTGTTTCGCAGAATACAAAAAAATAGTAAATGGTAACTGCAACTAACTGATGTAATAAAGTAAGTAAAATATATTTTTCAAAGACATATTATCAGATTACCGAATTTAAACTTCGGTCTGTACTATGAGAACGAATTCGATCAGTACTGTGTCTATATGTGTTTGTATATGCTTGTACCTAGAATTCATTAGTGAAAACATATGTTTGTTGCTTCGTATCATAATCAAAAATCGAAAATATCCATCTAACTTATATCCATTTTTTATTTTCAGCACATCTCCCATGGCGTTTCGGTAAACGACTATTAGGATACATGAATTCTCATTCCCAGGCTGTTCAAGTACTCTCATCGATGCAAGAAGCTCCTGAGGAGTACAAATGTCCAAATTGTACGAAAGTTTACAAAAGTCAGAGTGGATTGTACACCCATAGACACTACGAATGTGGAATCGAACCACAATTTAGATGTTTGCAATGTCCTTATAGGACACATCATAAACATAGTCTCAAACGACATTATAGACTGAAACATAATTTGACGGTGGCGGTTCTTCAACCACGGCATACCAGTTAAAAGTGAATTGTGTAATTATAGTAATAATTGAAAATTACTGGTGCATGGCATTGTGCCGTAAGGCAAATTGCTGGAACTTCCCGTACAGTAATTAAACATTCGCGAAATAAAAATAATCAATCATCAATAAAAATTTAGCAATTGAGTGATAACAGTTGTTTTAGATATTTAGAATTAATTATTGTAAATACTGTAATTTTATTGTCGTATTTTATGGATTTTTTTATTTTTCAACATAATAGCCCTACAAGCTATTATGCTGATTTGACTTACTACTAGTCTGTTTAGCAGATGGCAACTCAATCTGTTGTCTCTGTATGATATATTATTATTATAATTTCTGCAACAGGGCGAGTATTTTTATTGGTGCAGTAATGCATGGTGAGGGCTATTTTTACTTGGAAACATATTGCTATCTATATTCCCAGTTGAAAATTGTTGTCATTGCTGCCTGACAACAGGCTGCTTGAACCCGAGATCTCTAATTCAAGTCCCGCCGCTCTTGAACGCTTATCTATGGGCGAGCCTTATTGATCTATATATATAAAAAATTATATTTAGGCTTATATTTGAGCGATGACCTTTATCTATGTTTATCTACAAGAACCAAAACAAAACAAACAAAACCTAATCATTTCTTTACACCGTCTACTCTACACAACATTATACTTTTTGAATCATTCTAATCGGTTGCGAAACAACTGTTCATACATTGCTATTCTTTGTACTTTACGCTCCGTATCTTTGAAACTCCTGGACCTGCCTTCTCAGTTGTTCACACAATCAATACGAATACGAATCATTCTAATCGGATAAGTCGTTCTCTCAAACACCGTTGTTTTTTGCACTTTTTGCTCCGTATCTCGGAGGAAACTTATGGCAGATTGTAGTTAAAGTTATAACAAAAAGATATATTATTAAGATTTTTGTTGATATTGTGTTTAGATTTTGAAGAAAGTGATTGTATTGTATATAAGTTATCAATTTGATAGTATCGTGCAATATATTGATTGTAATAAATAAAGTTTTAAATGATATATGATGTCAACATCATGCATTGACAAATTCTTATAATTTAGTATAACATGAATGAAAACATGAATCTATTAAAAAATTATTAGATTTTATTGAATGGAAAATTAGCTTATCCCATTTGTCTTTGACAAGGATAAGCAAATTTTTCCTGATGATTAGGATTATAGCCGAAAACGTATGTATATTAGAATACATTTTAAGTAAATTTATGTTTTTCATTGGTGATATGCCTGATTATTAGACTAGGTCAATTCATAAGTCAACGTCAATACAAAACCGTACTTATATTTTCAATTATATATATATATATATATATATATATATATATATATAATTTTTTTGCAATTTTTGCAATTAGTCATTGAAAAAAGCAAAATTTTTTTTATAGTATATATATGTATCAAAATACATTGTGCTCTTAAGTTACCGGATTTTAATAATTTGTGATATTATGAAAACAAAAATATTCATATTTATTTGAATAATATTAATTAGTTGAACTTGTATAGTGTATGTATATAAAATTTTATCTTAATCGAGTCATCAAAGTTTAAAGCCTAAATTAATCATATTGATACGTAGTATATATTACAAACGATCAATACAGCTGATGTTTATAATATTTTAGACTTATATTAAATATTGTATATATATTTATAAATATGTAATTAATAAAACGTAAAATGCACTGTATAATTGTTTTAAATGTAAGTATCTTTACAGATAATATGTGTCACTCCATGACAATACATCATAGCTTTCCAAATCTAATTTTTCGTTAGCTTCTCTGTAAATTTGATCATAAATCTTTATTTCCAGAACCATTTAATGTCTTTTATTGATTTTCACAGGTTTACAAACCCTTTCATCTATCCACCTTCCACGTATTGCAAATTTTTAGACAAAGGCCACAAAATGCTGCAAAGCATTTTTGTCCAGGGTGCAGACGACCCTATGAGACCGCAGGAGGTCTCTATACTCATATGAGATTTGAATGTGGAAAGAACCTCAATTTTCTTGTGCACATTGTCATTTTAGATGTTACCATAA